CGTGTTGAAAGGACTGCTCAGTTATATGCAGAGCTCAATTCAGCTAATCGTTTTTATAGCTTGGACATTGTTACCAGGGCTGCCCCTTCTTAGTCGACTTTATTGGTGGTTTTGCTCGACAAAGATTTCTTAAGTCAATTAGTAATCTTTTAATGTATTTTTTTCATGGTAAATGACTTATTTGTAAGAAACGTATATCTATGAGTGGCCATTAGGGACATTATTCAGAAATACTGTTCACATACACATGTGAAGCACTCTCACACACACACAACTGAAACCAAAATCATTTACAAATATATGTAAAAATCTCTCATATACACATGTGACACACACACATGTGAAACAATCTCACACACACACACACACACGCACACACACGCACGCACACACACCACACACACACACACACACACACACACACGCACACACACACCACACACACACACACACACACACACACACACACACACACACACACACACACACACACACACACACACACACACACACACACACACACACACACACACACACAGCGAGCCATGGTGACTGACTGGGAGCCTCAGTGGACTGTGACAACAGATACAGTAGACTGTTAACTACTTTAAACACACACACACACACACACACACACACACACACACACACACACACACACACACACACACACACACACACACACACACACACACACACACACACACCTTCCCCTGTGTAAGTCTGTCCCTGTTGAGGAGAAACACAGCGTTGTCCACGGCCACCAGGTTGACCTTTGCCCCCGGGTCACCTCTGATCTGGAAACTAAAGCTCTTTCCAGGCGTGTAGTCTCGAGCTATGCCGTCGACCGGCCCGACATTCAGCTGTAAGAGATAAACAAAAGAGTGAAAAACTGAATAAAATATCTAATTTTCTGGATAGCTTGTCTTTCAAACAAGATCAGGATATAAGATTAGCTTTGTTCCATAATTGTCTTATTGTCAACAAACCCCACAAAAAGAACAGCATCAATATGTCTCCCAATCATTTCTGATTTCTTTACGAAGTCAGTGGGACTCAAACGCGTTAATTCCTGCTTAAGACTCAAATCTATAAAACGAGCTTCATTTTCTGAAAGGCTCAGTATATCCCGGAACGTCAATGTTTAGAGACGTGTTCATTGTAACCATTCATGTTATTTTTGCCATTTCCATTTTGTTTGTTATCAGAATTGACACGAGATGGTAGACCAAAGGACATTTTAAATCAACCAAAATTGTAAAATATATTTCTGTTTCAGTCTGTCCCTGTTAGGGCGAGCTCTCTGGTTGCAAAAAGAAGTGTGATTGAATGGGAGGCTATAAGAAATGTACCCTTCTTCTCCGTTAATTTAATAGCATTTTCCTGACTTGCATGTTAAACTCTATAAGCTAAGACAACTCTGAGAGTGAGAGCCGATGACCTCACCCCTCCAGCGCAGGAATCTTCCACATCCACCCAGATGGAGTCCGGCACCACCTCATGACCCTCATCCCAGGGGATACTGTAGAACGCCACAAAGCGGAAAGAGGGCATCATCTCCGGAGTGATATGAAGTCCGACACTGGTGAGCAGCTGACCTGCCACATCCAAACGCTCAGCAACAATGATTTTGCCTTTATTCACCACCTTTTGTTTTGAGGAGAAATCCATGATCATCACGTTTTATTTTCTTAGTTTTTTTTAGGATTTTGTTGCTGAAGGTTCTACTTGTACTTATTTCCATGTGTATTGGAAATGGGCTGTAACGGATTTGTAATTCTGTGTTCTTGTCTCACCAGGTAGGTGATGTGTGTGATGTATTGTCTGTGTGTTGGGTCTGCAACTGTGATGCTCATCTTCAGGGACACGCTGTCTCCAACAGACACTGTGTTGGTCCCTGTGGAGATGTACAGGTAGTTTGGTTTACGGCTACTTAAGGCGGCGAACGGCTGAACAGTGATCTGTTGTTTGGCCTGCTGCTCTGGCCTGAGTCCAGCCTGCACCGTCTCAGCCTGGGAAGCAGAAGGAAAACAAAATAAAGTGTGAAATGTTGCTTTTGATAATCCTAAAGGTAGCCTTACTGGCTTTTTGCTCAGGGGGTGAGTAGCCGTCAACCAATCAGAGTATCAGATTTTCGATCCACAGCCATTGCAGGTTCCTTAGGCAAGATACCTAAACCCAAAATTGCTCACATAGGCATATCAACGGTATTGAAGTATGTGCTGCTTTACATTAAAGTGTCAGCTAAATCACTTGTCATGTAAAGAGAACAAAGCATTGTTCGAAAAAATCATTGGTCAATGCGTTACACGAATATCCATTATGTATCTCAGCGGCCAATAACGATAATAATGTCTATTATTACAATGACAAAATAATGTCTTTAAAATATGCTCTTTTCCAGGATTTGCACATTTAGAAAAATAACCTAAAGTAATCCGCCAACCCACGACTGCACATAATGACTATCTTGATTATTGTTTAGAAAACAACTAGATTGAGATTATTAATAATCAGTAGAAAGTAGCTTGTCTAAAGCAAAAGCAAAATCTTCACATCGCATTTTTGACTAGAGCAGTTTGTCTATAGATTAATGATTAATAACGTAAAGATAAGATGGGTCAAGGCTCTGTGAGAAGGCAGTCGTACTCACAGTGATGGTTTGTGCGCGTTGTTGTGGAGGCATGTTGACGGTGGCTCTGGTGGTGGCGGAGGACACAACCAAGGGCGTGTCTAGAAATGTCACCTTGACTATGACGTTTCTAGCTGGAGAACCGTCATGTTGGCTCACTTGGATCTGTTATTTTTAGGGGAAATGGACCTCTGTGAGTACAGTTTTCCACCAACGTTTTGACACAGAGGATCCACTTGTGGTGTTTCATTTTACTGAACAAAAACAGAAGTCCAGTTTTTGCAAAGTGATTATAGACACAGAAGATGGTCCTTACTGTGAAGTCCAAGGGCAGGCCCGGCTTGAAGTACTTTGGTACGTCTTTGAAGGATATGGCATACGGAGACTCCACAATTTTAATGCCAGTCTTTTCTGCTTCAACCAAATCACTGCCTGTAAAGGAGGAAACTATGGGTCATGAATAACAATAACCACAAACCTGGATACTTTCAGGAAGCCGGACTCAAGTTTCCCCTGTGAGATGTAGACTTCTTTATACCATGTTATACCTCTCTTTGTTGTCTTAAGGTAAACTTGTTCCCTTTTTAATGTCACATTGTTTGCTTGAGTTATTGGAAGTGGAGAGTTTTAATAACTGGTAGTCTTTTGTCAAAAGCAGCTAATGTCTCCTTATATCAAACCTAAAGCAACACACCGGTCTATCTGTATTTGCTGTGGAATCCCCGTCAGATCAGATTGGTTGTGTTTTTGGGTGCAGTCCTGATGAGGGTGTTTACTGCGACCACTACTCAATCCTGCTTGGCAGAGGCATCATATCATCATCACACACACACCACAACACAGACTATAACACCCCTTGCTGCTAAATAGAAAACCAACTTTGTGCAATATGTGCTATATGTGCAATATATATATGCCATTAATAACTGTGTAATTTATACCTGGCCACTAAATCAATCAATATATATATGCCATTAATAACTGTGTAATTTATACCTGGCCATTAAATCAATCAATATATATATGCCATTAATAACTGTGTAATTTATACCTGGCCATTAAATCAATCAATATATATATGCCATTAATAACTGTGTAATTTATACCTGGCTGCTAAACCCTTGTTACTGTTACAAGGTATGTATCTTGTATTTTGTAGATTGTGTAACTTGCTGCTCTTAAATACCGTCAAACTATGTGCAATATATACTTTGTATACATATGCCATCTTTAATATCTGTAATATATACCGGGTTTCTAAATCCTAAGAACTGCTACAGGATTTGATTTGTTTTTTATCTGTATTTTTGAAAATGATGTAACTTTTTTAGTTTTTATCTTTTTTTTGTATCATATTGTTTATTATATTATAACTTAGTACTTTTTTTAACGCATTTAAGATATTCAACACTCAGCTGTCTGTTGCTCTTTCCTGCTGTAACGCTGAAAATGTCCCCTCTGTGGGACTAATGAAGGTATTCTGATTCTGATTCTGATGTGTTACAGGGGAGTGGTCCTGATCCAGCTGTCAGTCTTGATCCAGTCAAGAAGCTGGAGGCAACATCTAATTTGATCGAGAGTTCTGTGTTGGCTGGACGAGACTCAAAGGTGGAGTCAATCGTCCACTCGGAGGCGTGTACAATAGCACTTTTGCTTCCATTTCTGGAAGCACCTAGACAGACTAGGGATCCAACAATAAAACATGGAACACGTGATGTCGGTACCCAGACGGTGTCATTAGGAAGACATTGGAGTTGGACGTCACAACATCTTCTGTGGATGGGTCCTACCTAGAGGACGAAAAGAGCCAGACCTCTGCGCTCAAACTTCCTACCAATTCCCCTGCCATGCCTGTTTGTTTCATCGCCTGGGCATGACGACCACTTCTATACGTTATTAACTGAGTTGGAGAACCCACTTGCAGTCTGAGGTGAGGCTAAAGAGTTAATTGGTCCAAAAAA